CTGTGTGGCTCAGTGGTTGAGCATCGACCTATGAACCAAGACGTCCTGGTTCGAGTCCTGGTTCGATTCTCGGTCAGGGCACATGCCCAGGTTGCAGGTTCATCCCCAGTGTGAGGCATGCGGGAAGCAGCCAGTCAGTGATTCTCTCTCATCATTGATGTTTCTATCTCTCTCTCCCACTCCCTCTCCCTTCCTCTCTGAAATCACTAAAAATGTATTTTTAAAAAAGAATTTATATGGTAGTGTTGAGGACCAAACACTTTCTAAGCATAGCAAATGGAACTGATATAGGGTCCAACTTATCCCCAAGGGTGATCCAGGAAATGTCTGATATTTGGGATGAAAGGCAAACAATGATTGTCGTAGATCACTGAAAAGATCTAGCCCTTCTCCTGCCTTAATAAAAGTAGGACTTATATGTTAATATATACACACACATACCCAAAGAAATGCTATTAGTTTATGGCTTAGGAAATTACTGCTGAAAATAGTGCTTTTGATATAAAAATTATTTTGCCAATAAACAAGTCAGTAAGTTGAATAAAATAGGCCTCTTGATTTATTTTTGTTGCAAGGGACAGGATAAGATTTATATTTTAATTATATACATTTTCCCTCCTGTAGCTGTTATCTACTTCAGAGAATCCAGAAGATGAAAATGCAGAGTTACCAAGTATGTACAATAATAATAATTGCCACATTTAAATAGAACCACTTGGTACTGTTACAATAGAAATTTGATAATAGTTATAATATACATATATTTGTGGTATGATTTATAATTTACAGTACATTTTCAAATACATTAAGCTGGTATTTCTCAAACTTTAGGGCATATCATAATTGCCTAAGGAACTTTAAAAAATATTACAGATTTCTAGTCTCCATTTCAAACCTACTGAATTAAATCATAGTTTTCTAAGGGCAGGGTTTGAGCATCTGTTGTTTTAACAAACTACATACATCCAGCCTAACCCTTGTTCTCAGACCAGGGTGGGAACAGATGCACTGTAACATTAGCTTGCTCACATATTCTTTCCATGCAATGGAGAGGGTAGAAAATATTACGTATTGTCAAATAGGGACTCCGAGGCTCAGAGAGGCTACGTGATCTGTCCATCACCTTAAACCTAAAAGGTGATAGAGCCTATATTGGAACAAGCGCTTCTATTCTACTATCTAGTGTTCAATTAAAGTCAATGAATATTTATTGTGTATCTGCTCTTCTGAGGTTAGTCTAGAGAACAGGATAAACATAACTCCTGTTCTCATGAGCTACTAGGCAAAGGGAGACAGACAAATACATAGATAGGAGAGAGGGATGTGGTGGGAAAGGTTAAGTGTGCTCTGAGAGTGCCTGAGGAAAGATCAGAAAAGGCTTCAGATGAGAGGAAGTATTGGTCTTATCATAGAATCACAGGGACCAATAGGAGTTAACCAAGTGACAAAGGGGAGAAAGAATATTCCAGGCAGAAAGACTTCAGTGACAAAAGAGAACAGGCACATTTGAAGAACTGAACAAAACTCCGTATGGCCAGAAGTAGGACTTGCAAACAGACAAATGAATGAATCAGGTCAGCAGTAATAGTCAGCACTGCAGGCAGCATTTGTGACTTCTGGACTAGAGTACAGACTACAAATGAGGAAATGGTGAGAAATCCATCAGTTTGCAGCTCCTGGGCTAGAGTGTACTGTGCAAATGAACAAGTGGCAAGAGGTGAGGATGAAGAACAGGGTCCAGAGATGGTGTGTGACCTTACACGCCACAATCCTAAGGACAGTAGAATTGTTGGTGGAATTCAAGGAGTGTGACACAATCAGATTTCTGTTTTTAAAATGTCCCCCTGGCTGCAATGTTGAGAATGAACTAGATGGGAGCAATACTGAGAGAGGCCATTGCAGTAATAAAGGTGAGCGATGACAATGGCCTCTTTTGGGAATATGTGCAACATATTTGATTTAGAAAGCTCATTTGTTCATTCAACATGGGAAAAAAGGACCTCCGTTCTGCTGGGGGTGATCCCAAACATTCCATCGCCTTCTCATACTCATAGTTATGCCGGATAACGCATATTTTGTATCTGAATACAATATTCCATATTCTTATTCTAGTGACTGAACGTACTTATCATTACTTTAAATTTAACGAAGTTAATACAAAATAGTACCTTTATGTTTCTTGGGCTTTATGTTTTTGAAATTGCAATAACTTTTAATTTAAAAAATACAGATTATCCCAATATGTGTTAAATTCTTTATTCCATACAGTTATTCATTATGGCCCTGGAGAAAACCATTCGGAAGATGCAGTCATGATGAATACACCTGTGGTTACAGCTGCCTTGGACATGGGCTTCAGTAGAAGGCTGGTAAAACAGACAGTTCAGAGTAAAATTCTAACAACTGGGGAGAATTATAAAATCGTCAGTGATCTTGTATTAGATTTACTTTATGCTGAAGATGAAATAAGGGAAGAGGAGAAAGAAAGAGCAACTGAGGAAGAAGAATCAGGTACACATATTTGTTAGTACGGTATCTATTTCCATAAGAATTTGATGTCGCTGCATATAAGTTATTGAAAATATACTCATAGTCAATTCAATCAGATTTTTCTTATAATTAGTATTCTGAAAAATTTCTTCACATTAAAATATATTTTAATTACTTAGTAAATTGAAATGAATATACTTAATGAGAGCATTTTTTTCCTGCTTTTCCTTATTTTATAGTTTTACTAAAGGCCTGGTGCATGAAATTCGTGCACAGTATGTGTGTGTGAGGGGGGGGAAGTCCCTCAGCCTGGCCTGCAATGACGCCAGCATCCCTCACCCCGGCCTCTGGCCCAAGGCCCCACCCCTCCCTCTGTGTGGTTGGGGCCCCTCCCCTCCCTTCTCTCTGCACAGCTGGGCGCAGACGCTGGGCTCGCATTGCCGGGGTGACGCTGCCACTATGGGCACCGCCATCTTTGTCGCAGAGTGATGGTTAATTTACATACCACTTTTTTATTAGATAGGATTCTGGGTAGTTGATTGTGCATGTAATTCTTGACACGCTTTTAACCCCAGGCCAGTTGCTTGCTTTAAATTGGGATGGGATCAGTAACAATTATTAATTTTAATATCGGCATAACAGTATGTTTTAGCCTATGACTATAAATTAATGTACAAATTATGATGACGTCTCCTACCTGCCTGTACAAGAGCTGAGTTTCCCTTCCTAGTGTCCGTCTAGTACTTAGGGGAGTCCTAAGATAGGTAGTGTTTCACATTCTCTGGAGATAACTTACCCGTGTCCTTCCATACTAGCTTTGTCTGCTACTCTATTGCCTTTACTATATTGCCTTTTACCAAAACTCTTCCTCAGAGCATGTCTGGTCTTAACTGGTTGCTCTCATTGCTCCCATCACTGTGGCCTAGACAAAGAGATGATCTCTCCTTTGACACTCTTCCCCAAGCATGGACCAGTTCTGAGAGTCCTTTCAACATAGCTAAAAACAGACTGCAACTTTTAACAAGCTCTTCCTGGAGATTTAGGGCTAACAGAAGAGCACTGTGGCACAAATGGCTCATCCTCACAAATCTCTCTTCCTAGCTTTTGGTTTATCTCTGCCAGTTTATACTAATGACCAGGAAAGCATGTTTTCCCGAATCAAGGCTCAGGTCCCCAAATATCCACTGAGCCCAGAAGGAGAAATGAGGTTGCCCCTTATTCTTATTCCCAAGGCCGTCTGGGATCTAGTTCTTCCCAGGATGATTGACAGTGACATGTTTCCTCCATTCCTGAGTAAACCTACTCTTGCCCACTAAGGTGGCTTTGCCTTCTGGCCAACACAGGCAAACATATCAGACTGTAGTAATACAGCATTATTTATTTACCAAAGTGCGAGTTATAGTCTTGCACACCAATTCAGCAGCAAAATAGTCCATGTTCATCTTTGCCCACCCTACACAAGTTCTCATTTTCATTATGAAGTGAAGATCAGGCTGCAAATCTCTCTGGTAGTCTTCTCAGTTTGGCTATTGGTCACCAGTGAACAATTGCTCAAAGAAGAGAACATTCATCTCCACAGCTGTTTATAGACTCCATGAGTCTAAAGCCATCCAGCTATAAAATACTCATGTTTCCTCTGAAGAAAATCAACAAAGTCTCCAGCTATAACCCCAATTCAACAATCTATATATATATATAAAAGGCTAGTAATATGCAAAGTGTCCCTGCGGGAGTTTGACAGGGAGTTCTATCACTTGCTATGATGCGTGCTGACCACCAGGGGGCAGTGTGGAACGAAGGAAGGCCCCCCGCTGGCAGCCAGAAGGCCCTGATCACTGGCCAGGCCTAGGGACCCTACCTGTGCACGAATTTCATGCATCGGGCCTCTAATATACAATAATATGCATTGTCAAAAAGATCCCTTCTCAGGCTCAACATTATATCCACACTATCCACATAGTGTCTGCATTCAAGAAATGTTCTTTGAGTGAGTGAATGAAAATACCTCCATTTAGGTTACTGATTATTTAAAAATTTTCTTTGAACAGTGGGTAATTTCTTGACAGGTGTGTAAATAAGGAGGAAATTAAGGATATTTTTCCAGAATAAGAGAATAAAATGCCTCTAAAGCATTTTATTTATTAAAGCAACTTTCTGGCCCTTTAAATACAGTTCCTCATGTTGTGACCCAACTATAAAATTATTTTCATTGCTACTTCATAACTGTAATGTTGCTACTGTTATGAATCGTAATGCAAATATATGATATGCAGGATGGTCTTAGGCGACCCCTGTGAAAGGATCGTTCAACCGCCAAAGGGGTCGCGATCCACAGGTTGAGAACTGCTGCTCTAAAGTATTTTCACCTTAGAAATAGTCTATGACTTTGAAATGAGACTTTTTCATACAGCCACTAGCAATCCAATTTTAGACATCTTAAGAACTTCAGAAAATTGATTACATTAGGTTAAATAACATGAAATTAGAAACATTAATCTTAGATTGAAAAACTAATATACTTCAACATCAAGTTGTAAATTATATCTTAATTTTTAATATATCACTATTCCTCTAACATAGATAATTTAACAGAATACATTAAGTTCTAATTCTTCTCCCCTTCTATTACTTCTTTGTTCCCACTGCTCTTTAAATTACTAAGGCTTGGTTGTTCATTTGTTCAATCTATATTTTTGGAGCATTGATCTTGTGCCAGATACTGTTCTAGGTTTATTCTCAGAGCTTTTATGTATTCTCAGAGCTTCAATTATCTTGAAAATGTATATCTCTAACCTTGACTTTTTTACTAAACCCTATATTTTATTATTTATTACATTGTTCTATTTTTGTGTCCTTTTACTTGACAAAGTCAGTGCTTCTAAAATCTGGAAATCTCTCCCAAATACTTCTTTAGACAACCTAACTTCTGTTATTAGTTACTTCATAGAAATGGTTTTATGGATCATGGTAAAGGTATATGATAATTATTAAATTTAGAATAAAAGATAATAAAATTTCAGAGCTTCAAAATAGGTAACATTTCAACAGTAGATAAAAAAAAACTAGATCCCAGAGAATACAGTGATCCTAAATGACAGGAATGTGTCATTGACAAGTAGCATTTAGTTTTCAAAATGCTCTTAACGTCGTTCCCCTTTTACTGCAAAATATTTAGGTAATGGCAATATCATGCCTAATTTAGGAAAATAACTAAAAATTTCATCCTAAAATGGAAATTTAAAGGAATTTTATGCATAAGTGTAATTTAAGAAAAATATTCTATCATTTTAACTATTTTACTTTTTCCCCCAGTTTGACTAGGTTAAATAGAAATTTCAATTTTATTAGATTCTAAATTGTATTTTATAGCAGTATTGCCAAATGGTTGAGAGCACAGATTATGATGCCAGACTGCCTTGGTTTGACTTTTGCTAGTTGTGTGTCCTCAAGTAATTTACTTGCCACATTGTGCCACTGTTTTCTCATCTGTTAAATTAAAATACTAGTATCTACCTCAAAGGGCTGTTGTGAAGATGAAATGAGTAAATACACTCTCAGTGCTTACCACAATGCTCAGTAAGTGTTAGTCCGTAACACTGTTATTAGGCACAGGGGGTTGGGTACCCCCAAACCTAGCAATCAACTTTAATGCTCGATTATGAATTATGGTCATTTATATGTGTAGGTGTGGAAGGAAGTTTGTGAACAGAGGTTTAACATGTTTGTGTTCTTTTTCACAAAGATGACCTCTCATATATCCGGAAGAATAGGATGGCACTTTCTCAACATTTGACTTGTGTGGTTCCAATCCTGGATAGTCTACTAATTGCCGGAGTGATTCATGAACAAGAACATGATATTATTAGACTGAAGACGCAGACAACTCTGCAAGCAAGAGAACTGATTGATACTATTATAGTAAAAGGAAATTTTGCAGCCACCATATTCAGAAACTCTCTACAAGAAAATGACCCCACGTTATACAAGCGTCTATTTGGTGAGTGCTAGAAAATTACTTTTGAGAACTTTCGAGATCAATGGAAAATGTGCTTATTAATAATTGTGATTATTGAAAAAATCCAATCAAATATATAAACTATTAATTGCACAAAAGACTAAAGACTTTTATTGCCTTGACATGATGACAATTATTTCTAGCATTTGGCTGGAGTCTAAACTGTTACTTTAAAAATATATATCCTATGACTAAATACTGACCTTACTTGCCCTAGTAATGCTGTTTTCTTTTCCTCCTTAGTGCAACAGGACATAAAGTATGTTCCCACAGAAAATGTTTCAGGTAAAGTAGTATTAATGATTTAAGTCAGTAGAAAACATTATTTTTATTTTCTTGGCTTTTCATTGGGAGAGAAGCACCAAATTGCCTTTTATTAAAAATTGATTTCTCTTCTTAGACTTACCAATAGAAGAACAATTGAGGAGACTACAAGAAGAAAGAACATGCAAAGTGTGTATGGACAAAGAAGTTTCCATAGTGTTTATTCCGTGTGGTCATCTAGTAGTATGCAAAGATTGTGCCCCTTCTCTAAGAAAATGTCCTATTTGTAGAGGTACAATCAAGGGTACAGTTCGTACATTTCTTTCATGAAGATGATCCAAAATTTTGGCATTATGGGTTAAATGTATTGTAATTTTAACTTTATATTGCTTTAGTTTCCTTATTTTTTAAATTTATTTACAACTCAGAAAATTTTGTTTTACACAAGTATAAACATATTTATGTAAACATACAGCTAAACCATATAAACATATTTCAGATAGCAAGAGAATATGCTTCTTTTCTTGTGAAAAATAGGGATAGCACTACAAGTACAATACTAAATCAAAATTTCAGCACTATTGAAATTGTAAGTAAAATTTAATATTTGTTAATTAACCTTTCAGAATTTTAAATATTTTGGAGTTGTATTAAGAACCAAGAACATGGATCCTCTGTCTTTTTTGATGTGTCCTATACATGGAAGGTTTTGATATTTGTTGAGTGACTTTTTATAGACATGGTGTTTTTGTAAAAAACTATGTGAGAAATGTTTTAATAAAGCAATCAGAATTACTCTTATTCTTAACATTTTTCTTTTTTTTCCTTAATATTCTTATTTCTATGATATCGGATAATTTAGGCATTCCTAGGCTCCTTCCTTACCAACTTAAAACCTCTTCAATATTGAATTACTAGAGGCCCAGTGCACAAGTTTTGTGCACTTGGTGAGGGGTCCCTCAGCCCAGCCTGCACCCTCTCGCAGCCCAGGAGCCCTCGGGGGAATGTCCAACTGATGGCTTAGTGGCGCTCCTCTTGTGGGAGCACACTGGCCACTGGGGGCAAGCTCCTGCATTGAGCGTCTGCCTCCTGGTGGTTAGTGCACGTCATAGCAACCAGTCATTCCGCCATTTGATTTGCATATTAGCCTTTTATTATATAGGACTAGAGGACCGGTGCACAAAAATTTGTGTACTCAGGGGGGAAGAGGGGGTCCCTCAGCCTGGCCTGTGCCCTCTCGCAG